CACCAGCCACAGAGCTGAGGAGTGGGGGTGGAGGGTGGGAGGGTTGGTATCCAGTGCTGTTTTGAGCATCATAGGCTTGTTGTGTGACCCAATTTCACCCAAGCTTTGCCTGTCAGACGGATGACCTCACATTTGACTCTATAAAACTTTAGCATACAAGGATTTCATGGTCAATTCAATCACTGCAAGATCCCTGTGGCTGCAAAACAAGCCCAAATCATCACCCCTCCACCACCGTGCCTGACAGCTGGTACGAGGTGTTTGTGCTGTTATGCGTTTGTTTTGTAGCAGACGTGGTGCGGTGCATTATCACCCAACGTCTGCACTTTGGTTTTATTGGTTTCATCTATCCAGATCCATCTATCCATTGTTCCAGAACTCTTGTTGTTTGTTCAGATGCTACTTGGCGAACTTTGGCCACGCTGCCGTGTGATTTTTAGAGAGAACAGTCTTTTCCAGGCAATCTTTCCAAACAAGCCGTACTTGTTCACTTTTTCTTAAATTATGCTGTCATTAACTTTTCTTTCTTATTTTCTTTGTTCTTTGAATCCAAACCTGAATGCTTCAGAGCAGCAAACTTTCAAAATGTCCGCTTTTATAGGTGTGCCTGCACTTGCTTATGATGAATGGCTTGAGTGCATCTTATTTCCTATGGAAGTGTCAAGTTGTACCATTGTGTACTTTCACCTGGCTACATAAACTCTTGTGAAAACTTTCGTTTACATCTTCTCAACCTTATGAGTTTAGATCACGATCTAAACAACAAAGCCTGAAGCAACGGCTTTTATAAAGTTGTAGTTTTTTAATTCAAAGCCTTTGAGTTGGAGTCTGCATGACTTATGTGCATAAAAAATTTGAAAATCCCTTTAAATTGTTTCCTCTTTCCTTTTCCACAACAAGAAATATTGTTTAGTCGCTTTGTATTTCATCATACCTCCACTCCTACTAAGAAATATCACTTTTTAAATGAAATGAGAAGTGCAACCACACTGGGCTTGTCTAGAAAATTTGTACAGGAAGAGACTCTGCTGATGTTGCTAGTTCCTGTTGGTTTATTCCTATACGGGGTCACACATTGTGGTATTCACCACAAGTAAAGCGGCACACATCCTCACAAAAAGGAAATATAGTCTTAATATGTAAGGTTGGCAATCCCCTTATATACACAAACTCACTTTAACCCCACTACCATTAGGGCTAATAGGGAGGGGGAAAAGCCACTTTCCATTTATGTTCCTGGCCATATCTGTTCCACCGCTCTCCGTTGGACTGCAGTTGCACCACATTTTTGTCCCTGTGCCAGAATATCTGAAAGAACAAGCTGTACCCACAAATGGGAAAAGCCATTAAATATTAACAAAAAGTACATATAAAATATTCAAGCGTGCTAAGTGCACAGAAATACAGTTAATCTGCGTTGGAAGCACTGAATAAAAAAGCGTGATTTCTAAATCTCTCTGTGAGAGCAGGTTTTGATTTGATTTATAGTTTTCTACACGTTATAAGCGCTTCTGTGTCGTTTTAGAGAGGTCACACTTGCTGACCAAGCGACTACTGGTGTTCAGTCTGGCACCGCAAGAAAAAAAGTCCCCATTCTCGCTTTTTATTGGAAGGGAAGATCCCCGTGTCTTAAAATAGCATGCCTCCACTTTGACATTTGTTTGAATCTTTGGTTTAATATTTTACATTTAATCTTCGAATCCAATGATTTTTGTTTTTTAAAGTTCTTTTTGCATGCAACCTCTCAGAAAGCCCTTTTAAAATTGTATTAAATTTTAAATTAAACATTACAGTGCTTGAACCATCATTTCTGCCCCCAAAAACAGATTTTCACACTTAAGTATTGAAATCGATGTGAATGATTTGGATTGCAGCAGCCCACCATCACGGGACATCACCCACATCATTCCAGACGTAGACAGATATGTCAGAAGTTGCAGTAAGTCAAACCAAAACCTTCTGCATGGCTGCAAACGAGATGTTTTGTAGTTTGGGTGAATGCCAAACATGTTTCTGAAGTCCTCAGAGTTGACATTTTAGAGACATAACCCCTTTGATTAATACTATAAACACTAGTTTCATCCTCCTTTCCTCATTTTTTTAAGCTGCTGGTTCTCTACATCACAGCTTTTACAGGAAACTAATGTGAATTCTTCTTATTACATCACTTTCTGTTTCATTCTGGCTTTCTGACCTTCTTGCAGCTGAAAATAGGTTATAAAAAAAAAGAAGAAAATAAAAGTTGATTGAATTTCAGTTTGCCAAGCGTCAAATGAAAAGGGAAATAAAACTGAAACTCCGAAGCTTTCTTTTGAAACCATATTTGCTCAAGGCTTTGATCTTGGTGGCTTTTCTTATCAGATCTGATCAGATTTTATCTGGTGTGTCACCATCAAACCAAAGACAGAAGGCAGATAGTCAGATAAGTCAGAGATTACCGATTTATTCACACCAGAAATGTCACAAATGTACAACTACCGCTTACTACAAATGGAAAGAAATAAAACAAAGCTGCGTGTTTTTCCGAGCACTCACACCTTTCTCATTTGGAGATGAGAATGCTAAAGGTGTCAAACCACTGATGCATGTAACATCAAGCCCTCGTGTTGCAAAATAAAAAAAAAGAAAGAAAGAAAAAGCCCACATGTTGTGTAAGTTGTTCAAATATCTGCCTTTGTTATGATAGCAATAAAAAGAGAAGGATTTTTATTGTATTATCATGTGATAGTTGGAATATTACATTTTTCTGATGTTTGAACATTAATAAAATGATATAATTAAAGAAAAAGTTTGTTTCACTTTATTTGTGCATCTGCTCCCTATTTAGCTCAGATATATATTTTTTCTGGTTTATTCAATTAAATAATTTCATTTAAAAATTCCACAAAGCTTGATATGAAGGAGGTTAAATCCATTATTATTTTTTGGGCAGAAAGTTAAAAACATAAAATAAAACATAACTTTAAAAAAGTTATAGGAATAAAGCAGGTAAGCTTTTTTTTTTAAGCAAATGTTAGGATTATATGAAATGGTGCATTGTGGAAAATGCACGTGTATGTGAACTGTATGTTTAATGGAAGCAGAAGTTGTCGTTTTTTTTTAACTCTGAAACACTTTAATCTGCCCCCATTTTTTATATATATTTTTTTTTTCAGTCTATTATGAATTTGATATAAAGAACATGAAATTCAAAATAATTTTCAGCTCTCACAAAACCATAGCCAGTACATCTAAATAGTGGCAGCTTTCTAGTTTGTTAGCCAAGGCCTTGAGAGCTTATTTTACCTACAGCATGTGTGTGTGAGCTCTCAATATCCGCTGCAACGCCGATGTGTTGCAATAACTGCAACTAAATGTTTCCTGTAAAAGCTGCTTAGTCCAACACAGTAACTTAGATGACTTTATCCCTCCATTTAGAATGGCTACAGCTCTGGGATATTTGACAGTTTGCTCACATTAAGTCTTCTAGAGACAACTGATACCCCTGAGAACTCTTATTTTCCAGCAATGGGCTCTATAATGTATTATCTTTTCTGCATTAAGTTTAAACTCACAGCTTACTTAGTTAGATATACCTTACTAGGACCTCATTCTACCTTCAGCAATTACAGCCGTAATTGTTTGCATTCAACACATTGCAAAAAAATTCCCCACAGATTTTGGTCCATAAATTAACACGACAGCATCACACGGGTGCTGTAGATTTGCCAGCTACACATCCATGATGATCTACTGGACTGACATCTGACAGATGAGGAGGCCATTTGAGTACGGTGCAATCACTGCAATGTTCAAGAAACTGATGTGAGATGATTTGAGTTTTGTTACACTGCTCAACTGATACCGAGGGGCCCAAATAGTGCCGGGAAAAGATTCCCTACATCATTAAACCACCACCAGCCTGAACTGTTGACGCAGAGCTGGATGGATCCATGTGCCCATGTTCTTTCTGACCCTATCACCTACATGTTGACTCATCAGACCAGTCAATGTTTTTCCATCTTATGTTATGCAATTTTGGTGAGTCCATGTAAATTTTAAGCTTCAGGTTCCTGTTGTTAGCTGACATGAGTGTCACTTCTTGTGGTCTTCTGCTGCTGTAGCTCATCTGCTTTGAGGTTCAGTGTGTTGTGTATTCACAACAAATGCTCTTCTTCATACCTTGATTGTAACAAGTGGTTAAATGAGTTGCTGTTGCCTTGTATCACCTCGACGCGACTAAATCATTCTCCTCTGACTTCTGGTGTCAACAAGGAATTATCCCACAGAGAACTGCTGCTCACTGGATATTTTCTGTTTTTCAGGCCGTTCTCTGTAAACCCTTGAGATTGTTGCTCAGGAAAATCCCGGTAGATTAGCAGTTTCTGAAATACTCAAATCAGCACAACAGGCACCAGCAAACATGTGACATTATAACTCCTAAATTACCTTGCTTCCTCATTCTGATGTTCTGTTTGAATCATGTCTACAATCCTAAATGCACTTATTTGGTGCCATATGAATATTTAACATGGCCCAAGTGTTTTTCCTTTTATTTCTCACAGGTTAGAAAGGTTTCATTTCTCACATGACCTAAATGTTTTGATGGTTGATGTGGGTTTTTTTTGTTTTGTTTTGTTTTTTGTTTTGTTTTTATCAAAATTAATTCATTATGCAAAATGTTTAAGAAATAAATGTCCTTGTGTCTTTGCCTGTTCACACAAACATTCAGCATACAAGTTCATATGTGTGAGAACTTGTAATTGTTATGCAAAAAGGTTTAATGTTCTCTTGTAATCTATCATATTACCACAAAATGTCAAAATGTTGTACCACCAGACACAGAGCTGAGAAGGAGTGGGGGGGTTGGAGGGTTGGCTTTTTCGATTTTGTGGCATTTTTGAGTTTCACTTTCCACTGTCAAAAATTTCCCTTTGTCACAGGAAAGATTACGTATGCAGCCAAAGTAAGTATTTAAGAGCCCACTCTGAGTCGACTCCTCACAGCACTCCTGTCAACAATCAGTCTTTAATTGTTGCAAGACTCTCTCTGGCTTCATTATTATCTTTGCTGCACGTTTTCAGCACCAGTGTCATCTTGAAACCAGCAATGTCAACCCTCATCAAAGCGTTTCTGCTCCTGGCTGTCATGGTCTGCATCTCCCAGGCCCAACGTAAGTTTCTTTCTTTATTTGTCCTTTTAGATGATTTAGATTCTTGGTTGAAATTACGCAAACTTGAATTTGTGCACGTCAAATATTAATTTCTTTTTCATTGCCTTCTTTTCTAGTCAAACAATCAGGACAGCAGTGTCTGTGTCACCGTGTCAGGAATCTTAACGGCATGAAGACTGACATAAAGGACATACAGATCTACCCAGCAACCATCTTCTGCAACAAAGTGGAGATTGTGTAAGTTTTTTTTAATATGACTTTTTTTTTCATTATTACTTTTGATAAATTCAACATGAAGATTTGCTAAGCTTTAATAAAGCATCACACAAGAAATTGCACGACAGTGCAAATTAAATGCATCCTAACTAAAAATACCTTTTTAAGGTAGATAATGATTTTAGAAAAATACTTGTAGGATCCTTAGCTTTTCCATTTAAATTGAACTTACCTCTATTTTCTATTTCAACAGTGTTACCTTGAACAGTGGCCTCCGCTATTGCTTGAACCCCGAGCAAAGAAACGTGAAAAGGCTCCTGACTAAAATCATGTGAGTACACTTCACCACACTCATCCAAGTTTTACATCCAGACTCTGATTGTCTAAATAATAATGTTAGATTATTAGTGAATCGCTTCAGTTTATAGAAATAAAGTAATAAATGACTTTTTTTTCCTAATGAGTGCACTGTTTGTTTGTTTTTTGTGAATTTAGGGATAAAAAGCAGAAGACCACTTCCTCCCCAGTGGAACCCTCCACAGCTGCCATGTAATTGTCTTTTAAGCTCTCTGAAAGAAAAAGCACCTCATATGACCTCTGAACTCTCAACAAAGTCACCTTGACAAAAAAAAAAAACATGGACATGAAATGATTGTAGTTTTTTTTATTTAATTTTTTTATATGTGCTTATATTTTATGTCCACTCCGTTGTATCCTGTTTTTATTCTTCTGTGTTTTTGTAAATAGATGAATGTCTCTTTGTACTTCTTGATATTTTTTTAATAAAATTATTAGCTCTTAAAGATTTGTTTCCTCATATTTCATGCCAGTAGGATTTTGTGTCTATACAAACATTTGAACTACTGATCTCTTTAGAATGTATAAACAGCCTAGTTGACGTTAATAAACTGATGATTAATCATTAATTACTGTGTCAGAGGTCAGCGAGCAAGAAGAGAGTAGCATATGTGCAGCTATCCTCTATAATTAATAATATCAATTCAACATTAATAAACACCTCAAACACAAAACATTACAAAGTGCTGCATTATTGCAAAACAGTCTGCGCATTCAAAACAGTCTTGCATGTGTGGGATGTGCACATGTGTTTTCCACACTTATTAAAATGGCACAGTGGCAGAATGATTAAGACTTTCCTCTTACAGTAAGAGGTTTCATAGTGTGAACCTCAGCTGGGGTCTTTCTGTGTGGAGTTGGCAGCTCCTCCCAGTGCCTGGGTGGGTTTTCTCTGGGTACTCCAGCTTCCTCCCATCATCCAAAGACATGCGTATTAGGTAAACTCGTGGTTCTAAATTACATGAAGTGGTTAAAGTGTTTGAATTGTACAGAATAAAACACTGTACACTCAAATATAAAAGGTTCTTCATCCTTAAAAGTAACAATTAAGCAAAATGCAACCAAAATGTAACATATTACATTTTATTTATGTAGTAACATTAAATGGGGAAACTTATATGTAAATAAATGAGTTAAAGTCAGTATTTCTGGGCAGAATTATTTTTGGAGTGTATTAATGTATGGTTAAAAAAATGTGACTTGCAGTTAGAGCACTTGCGTTGCGACAGAGTTCTGACAGGCCTGTCCCATAAAAAAAACATGCAGACGGTGTATGTGCAGTCTCACAATTTCAGTATTCCCAAAAACCAACATTTACCTTATTTTGACCCACGCTGGTGGATTTAATATTCAGTATGAAGTATGTATGGGTCAAATTTGATTCTGAACAGCCACGGTATATAAAAATTTGAATCATCTTTACACCAGTGTAAATATATATATATATTATACAATATATATATATATATATATATATATATATATATATTTTTTTTTTTGTGTGTGTATTTTCAGTCACTTCAGTCATCAAATTCCTGTGACTAAAAGAAAAGAATTTCAGTTGTTTTTACATCTGTTGAAATTGAAAATGGGTCAAATTTGACCCAAACAGCATGAAAGGATTAAAACTCAAGTGTGCGCTTTCTCTTTAAGGGCTGTAACTGTTCATATGCTACACCAATAGTGCTATCTTGTGGACCAGCGCTGGTAATGCAAAGTATAAAAATTAAAAATCGTCCATATAATCAGTTGCCATCCATCCATCCAGTTGCGGCAGCACGGTGGCACAGTGGTTAGCACTGTTGCCGCACAGCAAGAAGGTCCTGAGTTCAATTCCAACATCAGTCTTTCTGTGTGGAGTTTGCATGTTCTCCCCGTGTTTGCGTGGGTTCTCTCCGGGTACTCCGGCTTCCTCCCACCATCCAAAGACATGCAGCTTGTGGGGATAGGTTAATTGGATAATCCAAATTGTCACTAGGTGTGAATGTGCGAATGAATGTGAGTGCGAATGGTTGTCTGTCCCTGTGTGTTAGCCCTGTGACAGACTGGCAACCTGTCCAGGGTGTACCCTGCCTCTCGCCCTATGACAGCTGGGATAGGCTCCAGTGCCCCCCGCGACCCTGAAAAGGATAAGCGGAAGCGAATGGATGGATAATCAGTTGCTTCTAACTTTACTTACAATCTATGAGATTCTCTTTTGAATTCTTGCAGTAGTGATTGAATTTGAATATTAATTTGACTAAAAACTGATCAGACTTTCATGTCATTTGTAGTATTTTTAAAGAAAATGGCTTGATATTGCACATCAGTGCAAAAATAATCAGCTAAAAATTACTAAAATATGTCTCAGGGAAATGGAAAAAATATTATAGAATTTTCCACTTGAATTAGTCTTTTAACATAATGAAACACAGTGGCAACATTTAGCACATGCAAATAGCACAGCACAGCCAGTCACACACACAATCCTGCTATACATAACAAGAGGTAGAGGCTAAAGGAGACAAAATCAAACAAACAAACAAGACGGTTGATTTTAAGCAGGTTTGAGTTGCTGAAAAAAATGATATTCTAGAAATATGAAGGTATGAGACCAAAGAATGGAGCATGAATGTTCCCTCTAATTCTGAATTGTATTAATTTGACCCATGAGATGATTTTCATTTATTTTTTAGTCCTGTTCTAGTTATGCTTTATTTATACATTTTGCTTATATATTTAATTAGTCCCTTCAGGATCTTACTCTCTGTATTCCACTTTGTCCTCCTCCCATGTTAAGTTTATTCATGTGTAAGCATTTCTTATTCTTATTCATGTCCCATTTTAGTTTTGTAATAATTTGTCTTCTGTGTTTCATGTTTAATTTTATTTCACCTCCTAGCTCGTTGCCATTGTCTTCACCTGTGTGATGACCTTGTGTCTGTTTATCCTCCTGTTTTCAACCTCCTGACATGTGTGTATAAATAGTCCTGTCTTACTGTCTTTGAAAACTTATTTCTTCCTCTTTCAGATTCCTGCACTTGGTTCCCTTTCCTGCAATCACAACAGCTAGTCCAATTAGAATATTACATATAAAAAATGTAAAATATAGTATGAATTTCTCTCCTGGAGAAACCACAAGTAGACAGTACATCAACTTTCACATTGACTATTCAAAACCGTGAGAGCTTTGTGTGTGTGTGTGTGTGTGTGTGTGTGTGTGTGTGTGTGTGTGTGTGTGTGTGTGTGTGTGTGTGTGTGTGTGTGTGTGTGTGTGCTTTCAGCGTCAGCTGTGATGACCCATTTCTGTTGCAATAACTATTACAAAATGTTTCTTGTAAATGCTGAACAGTCCAAGATGCTGACTCAGAAGACTTGCAACCCAACCCTCCATTCAGAACAGCTTCACCTCTGGGATATTTGTGGAAATGGTTGCACACTTTCAAGCAGATTGCCAAGCATTGAAATTAAGAAGTTAAAGTCTGGCATCAAATAGTACACATGACACTGAAGCTGCAAACAGACTGGGATTACAGGGTCCAGTCAGCAGTCAGCAATGTCCTCACTGACAGGGGTGGCTGAACTTTCCAGAGTCCTATAGGCTGCTATCCACCACACCCTCATCCACATAATTTGCATGTGCATTCCCTGAACCCAAGGGTGACCTTAGCCATCTACCAATGCTTTTACCACGGCTAGACCTCAGTCTAACCTTAGCTTTGAAACCAAGTCTTAAACTGCAGTTCCTTTTAAATAAAAGGCCAGGATCTTACAAGGCCCACAACGCTGATCACACTGATCAAGTCTAATCTTTGCAGATAACCCTTTAAACTTCACCATTACTGCAACTCCTCTTATGTAAAACGCTAAAGTTTAAAAATAAAAAAGATCTAAAGTTTTAAATGATAAGAATGAATGGGGATTAGGAATTCACTGCAGATTCAAGCAAACCTGCCTTATCGCCTCAGCTTTGAAGTATAACATTCAGGATTGTTATGAGGTGATAAAATATACACAGTAACGATCTTGATCTATTGCACCACACCAAAACATACTGAGCCAAGTTTCAGCGGATCCCTCCGCGGCGGCTTAGGCTGCTGCCAAGGAGGTACGTTCACCGTGACGTGGGCATATGGACTCTGTTTGCATGTCCAAAAGTCATGGATAAACTAGCCGGCGAACAAACAAACAATATCTTTTTGTTCGTTATCCCAAATCGGCGCGACAGTGGCAACGAAATCACTGCAGCTGTGGAGTAATTTCAGAGGGACAGTGAGAGAATTCTTCACGGGTGAGTTTTAAGTTTTAAATATACGATGAAGGGATCGTGCAAATTCTGGACAACCTAAAATGTAGATCTTGTATGTATATACAGACTAAATGTATAGCCTATTGCAAATCACATCATTTTAAAGTGGTTTGAATGGGCTTCTCTGTTTTTACATACATGTATTTTTCTCGGAAAACACTGCAGCGTGAGTCATGTGTCATTCCTCATTCATTACAGCTAGTTTGCGTTTTTTTTTAAATCCTACACCGACACGAGTCAAACATCCCTATGACTTCTTTTCTTTCGGGGGAGGGGTGTGTGCGTTTTTTTCTTTTTTTCTTTTTGCAAGTCACTGTATCTGGCTTCCATGAGCGCCGACGTGAACAGCACGATGTCAGCTGTCTGGAAAGTAGACCGGACTACTAAACACCACCGACCCGTGTCTGCAAAATCTGAATTCTGCTGCAATATGTATGAGAAACATGTCACATTCTGAGTTCATTTAAGAGCGCATTCAGCTGGAAAGTGAGCTCAGATCACGGCGATTGGGAGCTAAACAAGATTGAGTGTGGTTTTATTCGACTGAATAGGGAACTAACTAACTGGATCAGCTGTCAGACGGAAATGAAAAAGTGTCATTTCCTTGTTTAATCCAGAGCTCGGTTGTGTTGTAGTGTTGTGCGATACTACAGATTGTGATATCAATCTGCTACCAAGAAAATACACTATATAAAGTGTCAATACCGATGCCGAATATGTTGTAGTTGTGTCATGATTTATGAAAGGGATCATCATTATTCTGCGATTTCTAAACACATTTTAACATTCACTACATACTCACTGTGCTTTTTTTCTTTCCAAAATAATGATTTAGCAAAATAAAAGCATACCTTTCAACTTTTCATATATTTTCTGAAGGAAACGGTTTCCAGGGCCTAATCCGTGGATCGACTTCCTTCGAGGCGTGGACGTCTATCAGCAGAGAATGTACCTTCACCTATCAGCAGAGAATGTCCCTTAGTCTGTAACACAGTCAAATATATTCTCAAGTAATATTCAAGCATGCCATTCAGCGTGTTAGTACGAGCTCGGGAGCAGCTTGGGAGAACAAGAAAACAGAGACTGCTTTAGATTGTCTTCCCAAAGTGACTCAACTTTATTCACAAGTACAACAGTTTATATAGAGGGTAAAATTCATGAGACAGCAGATTTATCAGTTTAAACCAGTACAGACCAAGATAAGGCAGCGTCTTCCTGCCCTTGGGTGAAGAAGCATCCTTTGTGTAGTTTATCAATTCAGCTACAATTGTGATTATCTCAGCGACATATTTTCAAGGCACAAAATAAAGAGTTCTTTCATTAGTGAAATCTGAAACAAACCATTTGGCCTTCAACAGGCGTCTAAAAGATTAAGAAACTAATGTAGCTGAGGGAGTGATCTCTGTGGTATTTCAACCTTGTACCAGCCTGTGATTCTCACACATCAATTCTTGGGTCAAAGAGAAAAACACTGAAACAAAGGGGCCTTATTGAATGACAGAGTTTTCCTGCATAATGTCACTATAAAACAATATCCAGTAAATGCTACCATGGTACTAAAATACCTAACATTTTCAAAACTGTTTTTTTATTTATTTATTTTTTACCTGAAATGTAAATATTCCTGTCTCTAAACACTTTGGGTCAGCTTCTGATGCTTTGATGTGTTAGAACTGTATTAAAAATCTTTTGAAATTATTCATTGGGCTGAATACTGAACTTAAATGATAGAAAAAAGTGTCAATCTTGTCACGCTAGTATTAATCTGATACCAGTACTATCGACATTTGGGTAAATTTGGCCACCTCTGCTGTACTCCTCTGCTATCAGCAGGAATTTATGTGTGACTGATATTAATGGCGCTGCTGTAATCAGACTCTGTATTTCTATTTAAGGCAGGTCAGGACATCTTGCACTGTGTTCAGTAATTAATGTCTGTTGTGTTTATTTTTTGCACTTACCCATAATCATGTTGTTAAACATATGCATAGAGTACATGTGTAGGCCTACCTTCTTCCCCAGGTAAAAGAAATGACATTAGTGAGCAGTGTTTTACATTCGTTTCTGTGAGCCTAATAACTTTCCGTGTCTGGTGTCATGTGATGAAGTGGTCAGATCTGAGTCCAGCATCAAGCTGAGTGTCAGGTTAACGGCCAAGCTGTCAGACCCCACCGTTTCCTGCAGTCAGCTGCTCAGAACATAATGGCCTCAGGACGGGGAGACATTCCAGGTAAACAAGATTTGAGATATGGCAGAGTTAAACTGTGAGACAAGTGATTATCTTGTACTGATAACAGAAGTTTTTTCTCTTGTTTATTTGTTTGTTTATTTACACAGTAATGTGTCCTTTTCCTTCATTTCAGTACTTGAGTCCGGCACGCCGTCCTGCCTCATGGGTGCATTATCATCTCCAATTGGAATACAACGACACAATATCAGCTATGATGAGAACATGGATGGCCCTATGCATTCCCCACCTTCTGACTTGACTGTCAACATCCTGTGGAAAGAACCTGTTATCCCACAGAACAGGTTCAGGAAAACTGAGGTGCTCCCGTGTTTACCCTTATTTTCTAACCCACGTTGTTTTGAATTGGTTACCGGAACAAAATGATCCTTGTATTAGTTGCGTGTAAATGCTTCTTGAATGTTAGGTGCGTGCACTTCTGATTTGCTCCATTTCTAATAGTTTGTAAGTGCAGCCTAACACTTAGGATTTGTGTGACTAGGAAGGGAAGAGTGGTGGGAAGTTACTGAGCGTTGAGGGAGCACCATCAGCCAAGTCTCCTGGGCCTGTGGTGAAAGCCAAAGCCACCACTTTAATGAGCTCGCTAAGGATCAGTAAGTCCACGAAAGCAACTTCACTAAACAACTTTATTTAAAAATATAGAGTTACTTAACAAGGCCACTGTCCACTACATGAATTATGATGCTCAGAACGACTTGGCTCCCACTTAAACAATCTTAAGAGTGTTAGTGGAGCTATGCTGGAGTGCAGCACCTTAAACACACTGACTAGTTGTCTGCAATGTTCCCATAATCTCTCAGAGGAATCCCACAAGAGCCTTGAGGAGTTTGAGCACCAGGCTGGACTAACAGAGTCTGGTTATTACCCTCACAAGGGCCTTTCTGCTGAAGAGACCCACATTCACAGACGAGGTGATGTCACACTGCCGGTGAGTATTAACAGTTTTAATCACTGACCGCAAGTAACAATGAACTCAAAAGAAAATGCACACCTAAATGTCATTTGTCAGAAGGTTGTTGTTATTATTATTAAAAAGAGTACATTAAAAAAAACACATTATAAATCTGACCCTTATCAAATTAAGTTGATGGACTGGCTCAGATATATATTTAAAGCCTGTGCTACAAGGCAGGATTTCATCTTATTTGGGTAACTACAGAGTTAATCCTGGGTTTTCTTCCAAATGCAGATCACCATAGTAATTTATGCTGTGAAAGTGACCTACTCTGGGGCAGATTATCATGAAAATTAGAGACCTAGTTTTTTAATAGCTTGCAATGACTGTCTTTCCCCCGATTAGCATAATTAAGAAGTATATGTTAAATGTTCCATCCATCCATCCATCTCCTTTTCAGGGTCGCGGGGGGCGCTGGAGCCTATCCCAGCTGTCATAGGGCGAAAGGCGGGGTACACCCTGGACAGGTCGCCAGTCTGTCGCAGGGCTAACACACAGGGACAGACAACCATTCACACTCACACCTAGTGACAATTTGGATTAATCAATTAACCTATCCCCACAAGCTGCATGTCTTTGGACGGTGGGAGGAAGCCAGAGTACCCGGAGAGAACCCACGCAAACACGGGGAGAACATGCAAACTCCACACAGAAAGACTGATGTTGGAATTGAACTCAGGAGCTTCTTGCTGTGCTTCTTGCTGTGCGGCAACAGTGCTAACCACCGTGCCACCGATGTTAAATGTTAACATCTACTTTGTATGAATTATCGGCTGGATTTTAGTTTTCATACATGCATGAGCAATTAGTTTTTAGAAAGAAGAGGACAATATATATCCCTCACCACAACTAGCCACCCACCTACAGGTCCTCAAATTTACTATTTACTGACCTAATTCTTATTGACCTCACAAAGTTACTGAATATCATTAACGTGTAAAGATCACTTAGTAAGGTAAGCTAAGTAAACTTTTACTTAAAGAAACTTGATATGTGCACTTCTAATTACATAACAACATATTGTTAACATGGCAAAACGTCTTGATAAACAAATTACGTAATGAGCTCTGCGCTGGCTCCATAGGCTGTAGTTCTTGCAGTATTGTTGCCAAGCAACGCCCCTGCACAAACCAAACCCCTTCCTTTTTCCTGTTCCCCGAGACGGACCAATCACAGAGCTCCTACCAAAACCAGAAAAGGCCTACTTTGCTGCATAGACTGTATCGTCGTCGTTTTTGTGAAAAATAATCGTCAGTTAAACTGGAAATTATGGACAAAGTGAAAGAAATTGTCGGACCGAGGCGTCAACGAAAAGTTATCATAAAAAGGTTAGTCAGACGTCGCTGCTTTAGTTGACGACAGTCAGGTCGAAGGTGTTGTACGCCGTTAGCGAAGCTAGCATTCAAACAAACGTATTTATTCGGAACAATAAAAATAAATGATCGGCATATATCAACTACCGTGAATCTCGCAATACAAAGGAGGGGATGGTGGTTTGCGTATTGATGGGTTAAAGTAGTTAACCATTGTGTGGTTCTTGGCCTTGGTTAGCACTGGCTAACTAGAAACCAGCAGACATTTAAAGGCCGTGTTGCTTACCGTGAGTGGAAGCTTCAGGTAAATAAAATAACCTGAAAGGGTAACTTTAGGGGCTTGGGAAGCCCTTCGCACTTGCTAAGTGAGCGTGATGTAAATATATAACTTGGATAATTACTCTGTTTGCCCCGCACTATCATCATTTTACTATCATGAGGCCTAACGCTAAGAAATGATCGAGGCACAGACTGGTGCTGGCATTATTTTTTTTTAAACTCTTGTATCTGTATTGAAACCAGATTTCACACAGATTCCACTTTAGGTGGTGTTATTTGAAAAGCGTTTTATTTATTACGTAACTGTAATAAATGGGTTTTGTCTTGTTTTATATACACACGAGGAACAAATCGACTACCAGAGGTTTTCCGTGCGATATGTGTATTTATTTTTTTTGACGTGTTAGTGTATTTGTGGTTTTTGTATGTCTTTACTATTTTTTATTTTTTTTATTTTTTATTTCAGCTTTCTGACACTTTATAAGCTATACAGAATTGTTTGCATGTGGCAGGCTGTTGTTATGACCTCCATGTTGATCGTTCTGGCTGAGGGCCAGTCGGGTTCAAGTAGTGACGAACTAGGTTACTGACCCAAGTAATGTGTTTAAAAGGCCACTACGTTGCTTTGCGCTCTTCATTTGCAAAATGGACTCTACCCAGAGTAGAAAGCAGGACCTCATGCACAATGGAGATATGAGCTTGGAAGGGCATTTGCCATATGATTGGGAATATGCCCATACCGAATGGAAACTGGGCACTGAAAATGTTTTTCAAGAGATTAGTCATGAACTCAATTTAAGTCTGATGGCAAGTATAGTGGAACTTGGATTTGTTTTTGGGTTTTTTTTTGCCTTTAGTCAAAAAGTAGCTTTTGTTTACTCTGTACTAAAACTGAAGACGACTGATGATTGACAAATACATTAACATGGATTTGTTGTTTTTCGTAGGTGTTTCAGGGATTTCAATCAATTTTGTGAAAAAGTCGAAGTTATGTAATGAAAGATTAATTTGGTGCGTAACAGTTCTGTGGTTCTTAATGTGTTTACTGCTGTTTAATGATAAATTAAGATGAGTAATTTTTGCACACTTTGTTTCTAACCTTTGATCTGTGTTCCCACCTGCATAACGTAGTCAATGGCAATAGGCTCTGAGAACCTGTGACGTCCTATTTTTCGATCTGCAAACCAAGTAAAACAGTGTTGACCTTGTGCATTGCGTATTTAGGGATGTTTGCTCTGTAAATACAATTAGTTGTTTCACTGACAGATTAACAAAAGATCATAAAACAACAAACTTACAAACAGGGTCACGGGGGAAACAAAACAGCACTGTTTGTGCTTTTGTGCTGGCCAGACACATGTGGGAAGATTAAAACTGTTTAATAAATTTACACTGACAGTGGAGCAGATGGGAGCTTGTGACTTTTTTTTTTTAAACTGTTTTTGTTTTTCTTGCTGTGCAGAAGTTGAGAATGCCAAGTGGAAACTTTAAGGAGGACAGGCTTACAACATCAGCATCAACCACCCCAAGTGGCACCCCTTCTGTTACTCCCAACATCACCCCCTGCGTTAGTCCCTACTCTTCACCGAGTGTTCATCGCAGGTAGGAACTGTACTGTTGTAAAGCCAGTTGTCATTCAGCAAAGAAACCCCCTTATATTTATACATTTGTACAATTTCCAATTGGCTGTATGTTCATGTTGTTCTTGGGTAATGGGAATACAGGAACTGGTTTCATCTGAGTCCTGCACCTTTCCTTGCTGCACCTGAGACCCACAGTCCCAACCCAAGCACAGACATGGGAGGAAATGAAGGAGGAGGAGGTGATAGGTGGAGTTTCTTCGGAATCCGATCTGTGGTACAGAAGTCCCCCACTGATCCTGGCTCTGAAACCAGCACAGGTAAAAGATTTGTGCTCACGCCTGTTTCTGTATCTTCAGTCTTTTAGCATTTCTATGCCGATACTCTGCGAATAGGGTGAATTGTCATACCCCTGAACCTTACATCAAAAGAAACTGCACTGACCCTCCCTTTTATTTTTGGGGGAGAAAAAAGTTTGTAAATTGATAGCATTTGAAACTACTTCCTTCTAGTCATACCACAGCCATGTTGAAACCACAACCTGCAGAACTGTTTACAAAGACAGGCCTCGCATCACAGAAACCAAAACAGAAAATGTGATCCTAATCACATGTGATAACATAGCTTGTTTTCACTGTAACATGTAGGGCTGAACGATTATGGAAAATAATCTAATTGCGATTTTTTTTTTGCCCCAATATTGCGATGCGATATGCGATTATTTTTTTAAGGTCTTTGTCTTCTGTATTATTAAACAAAGACAAGCAATACATCATATAGTATGGCCAATACTATATTACATTAATTTTAAACTGTTCTTTCCTGGAAGACAGACCTCTGTTATGATGACATGAGGTGATGCATGAATTGATGACTGACATTTTTTTTTAACTTCTTCAATCACAACAGTATATTTGAACATACACAATAGTTTATTTTTAGCTTACAAACATCTGAGCATAAAGTGCTGACAAGGAACCCTGGTGTAAACATTAAAATGAAAGTCAGTACAATGTGCAGATTGCAGAAATATACATAAAAAAAATCAGTGGCTTTACCACACTCAGTTTTTCGACATCTGTGAACTACTAGACAGTCATTCAATTAAAAAATAATATTAAATAAATAAAACTAATAAATAAAAAATACACACATCTTACTGATCTCTGCAGTCAGTAACATTACACATAAAGTGCAAACATAATAGCAATTGTATAAACACACACACAAAGGCGTGAAATTGGACGGTCTAGTTCTGATTAGCGTCACCGCTGTCTCGGTGGAGTTTAATAAACTCGGCCGTCTGCTTCTTGCTATCTAAAATATAACCAGACACTGGTGTAAATTCTCGACTGTCTCATACTTCTGTTTAATAAGTTTTCTGTTTGACGTTTAGTCAGCTGTGTGAAAACCAAGGAGGAACCCACCCGGGGGATTAATAAAGTTTTATTTTATCTAATCTAATAACTTTAATCTCAGCCAAACCGATTTACTCACGAACAAACAAAACACTGAAAAAAGCCCAACAATAACATTTTTAGGTTGTCTAAGTGACTTATATATTACGTTTAACCCGAGCAGCGAAACTCCGCGGTGATCTGAAAATGATGTGCCGGGAGTTGTGCCGTTCTCGGCCGCATCAGTAACCCTCGAGCTCCCGGCTAGCTGTCGAGCTGGTGGGTAGCAGACGCCTCTGAAAACGTCGAAGCACTTTTGCAAATATGGGATATCTTGATAAACCGAGCAGATATTTGATGTTTACACAACTACTTTCTCGCCTGAAAATATTTTAAAAGTTTATTTTGTGACCCAGAAAGATTAGTATGAGTAATTTTAAAACTTAGTAGCGGCCGCCATTGCTGGAAACTGGAGTTTGGCTGGGCCGCGCTATGAATTCTGGGATATGGTAGTAATTTGGACAGCCTTCGGCGCGTCGCTGTGACGTAATCGGTCTACAAATGCGGCCTCAGGAGGATGCAGCCCATGAATTTGGACATGTCCAGAGTATAATCGCAGCCTTTGCGGTTAGAAAATTGCACTTGATCATGTCGCGATATTATCGCAAATGCGATATATCGTTCAGCCCTAGTAACATGCATATTTTAACCCTGTAAAAGACTAGACCTTTTTGAGACCTTGAGTTTGTCAGAAAGTTCAATAAACATTCCAGTTTTTTGTTTTGTTTTTTAAAGAAGAATTTTCTGGCAATTATTTCGTGGTTCAGGCTTTACATGGTTAAATGCAGAATAAGGTGCAATTTAAAAGTTTTCTTATAGAAGCTATAACGGCATGTAGGTGGAATATTTCAGGGAAATTTCACACGGTACACCAGTGATGCTGTGTGTTTCTCTTTGCAGCTCTTAAGTAATTAATGGCATCATCTACCACACCTCTCTCCTGCAGGTTTGTCTCTGCAATCTTATTTTGGTCTGCAGAAATCCTCAACCATGGATGGCACCAACACCCAGGTCAACCTCAAGGTTGATGACCCTACAAAATTTATGCCACCCAAGATTGAAATCTCAGACATTGAAGCCAAGCGGCAAAACCCACGGCCGCATAAACTCAAACCTCGGGACATGAATGTTTTGACACCATCGGGCTTCTGAAGACCAGCTATGTAGCTATTCCTCCGATTCCACATTCTCAATGTTTGTTTTGTTTTGTTTTTTTTGTCTGTCCTCTTGTTCCACATTTGCCTCCCTGTCTACCTCTGTTCCCTCTGCCTCCATGCAATTTCACTCAAGCTGGGGGGAATGAGGGCCCATAGTACCTACAGTATTAGCTAACTAGCAGCAGACTGCACTGCTTCTCCTCCCCAGCTCACAGATTCAGATCAGTTGCTGTCTGCTGTCTATGCCCCCTCCTCTCGTTCTATCTTATTAGCCAAATAATGCAACAAATGGAGTAACTTCATTTGTAACCCTAACATTGGTACTGCTTCCTATTGCTTTGTCACGTAATGGGTGCGTTGGTATGCATCGCCTAGATGTCCTCGTTCCATTGTCAGCGATGGCTTGAGATTAACGTTGAAATATCTTGCTGCTGATCATGCTAAAGTAGCAAGATAATTCAATTTATATCTCAGGTTCCTGTCTTTAATAGTTTTTGGTTTAAAGTTATGTAGTGCTTTTCTCCATCAGCATGCAGAGTATCGTGGTATATGACTGATATTGTGCCTAAGGCTGCAATGGGTGTGCTTTTGGCATCAAATTTCAGCTTTTTTTTTTTTTTTTTTTTTTTTGTTTTTTTTCATTATATGTAAGAGCATCTGTGACCATGTGCCTGCTGACCTGAAGTTTTTTCTTTTTTTCTTTTTTTTTTTATATGTATATTCTGCTTTAAATCAAGGTTTCTAAATTGTAGGTAGTGCAGTTTGTTGGGTTTGCCACTTTTTATTTTCTTCTTTTAAATGTAGGACTGAAGTGGCCATTGTCAACTTTTCAACTTTTTTTGCGTGTGTGTGTGTGTGTGTGTGTGTGTGACTGAATTTTCCTGCTGTTTTGTTTGGGGGGGGAAACTGATGAATTCTGCTAATAAAATGCACAAGGGAGCTCTCCCACTTTCATCTGTAAATAAATCTCATTATGGAACTAAATTCTTTTTTGGTTGTTTCTTTAAAAAAAAAAAAGGGGGGGCGGCGGCTATTCCCGGTATTTCATATTCAGTGCTCTGTTCAAACAGGAAGTGATTCAGAGGCTCCGAGCCAGATGCATCTCATTCAGTGCCAGAATTCCAGTCATGAATTTGAAAATAATACAGGAGTCACGAATCTATGTATGCTTGTCTCACCAATTTGCCAGAGTTAGAGTAGTACTTTGCATTGTGCTAAAAATGTAAAATATTGATTAAAATATGAAACTGCTCTTGAGCATCTAAAGTGGCAGTTTTCTTTTGTCCCAGTTTCTTAATAACCAATTCAAATATAACACTTAAAATGTTTTCTTTTTGGTTTTGTTGCTACAAGTCTTTTATAATTGTTAAACGTTGTCCTAATTCATGGATAGACCAGAGATGAGTCCTTATCTTTATATTTTCTATATTTTTTTTCCAGACAGAGTATATCTAAACAGTGCAACCCTCTTACTATGCTACTAAAAGAAGATGCATTTAAAGTTTCCTACATTTAGTTGTACTATACTCATCCTCAACTTTCACAGTCCATTACTGTGAAATACTTTCATTTTTCAACAAAAATGCTAATGTTACCCTATTAAACAAACATTACAAATATATATTAGAAGTATTTTTGTCAGTCTACAAAAAACGAATGCATCCAGTCAACCCTGATAAGAACAGAAGACATTTAAATTAAAAAATGTAAGAATATAAAAATTATGAAATTAGTCTAAATGTTTTTTTGTTTTGTTTTTTTTAGCTTACAAAGGTTTAATATATTCCCTTTTTTATAGTTACTACTTCGAGTGCTGGTGATACAGTTGTGCCAAGCATCTCATTGTTGGTGGTTCATTTAAATAAAACTGAAATTTACATTGAAAAAACTTCATGTTTTTTAGCATTTGTGAAACATAAATTGTCCTCCAGTTCTGGAATGACCCATTTATCCATTGTGAAATGCATAAACGCACTGTAACCTGTTCGTCATTTCCTTTGCTATTGCACCATTTACAGTCATTACTGTAGTGATATAAAGATATAAACTGTGGCGCAACAACTTGGCACAAATGTTTTACCTACAATTTTTCACCACAAGATGGAGCAACAACTTCAACATGAGCTCACGGGATCGCTGTAAGTTTCCTCCTCACTTTGACTCTCAAATTTCACTGTGATGTTACTCGGACTACTTTGCATTAAAAGTTAAGAAGCGATGCACAAATTCTGCAGTTACACTGTAGTAGTAATCAGTTCGTGGGATGTAATGAGATAATGAATTTGACCACACAAGCATAAAAGCCTTTGAGGAGCCAGAGGGAGGTTATTGTTGTCTCCGGTCATCTACTGTGCACACACTGATTTAGTCTTGTCCCGTAGTCACAGAGCCTGGTTTTATTGCACTAATGCTACTGTTGACAGTTCCACACAATTGTCAAATTTCAATTTCCAAAGCTATTATTACCACATTAAAGCAAACATGTCATATTACAGCAAGCAAACAGAGTTTTTCCCCTGAAAGCTCAACCGTGTGATGGAAGACTTTACCTTGTTAAAGTTCTCAGTAGTTGGTGGTTAATGTCCGGTATGTTGTGTGTGTGTAGGAGAGAGAGGGAGTGAAACAACAGAAAAATGTCCTGTATGTTCATGTTGAAGATTTATTAAAGGACGGACCTTCTATTTTTTATAAGAATAGTATGCAGGGTTGAAATTCACAGCATTTCAATAATATTTTGGCTACCAACAGAAATACAGTGTCTTACTTTGACTTTAGTGCTGTAATTTAGGTGTTAACAATGCTCTGTTTGAGGTAATTCACACTTTAGCTGGAGCTTTTAACTGGAGCACTCCTCAGCTTAATGAAAGGCTGTAAACAATTCACATGTGGTTTCCAGGTGGTGCTCAAGAACAGGCTTGTAAATCGAATAAGAAAGACAAGTGAGGACAGAAAGCTGATAGTCAAAAACCTAAAGGTGGTCAACCACTAAAAGCAAAACAAAATGTGGGGGTGGTGGCAGAGGGGACACAAGAACACAGGGTTAGGTGCAAGAGTTTGGAAAAACTACAAACCGAGGTGGAGCTAGTCAGCCTTTTCAGTCTTAAGCCACATTTGTTTAGAGATGTGCAATACAATACATAAACAGCTGACACAATAACCGTGTCTGTAACACTAAACCAAGAACACACAGCAATACAGCAAAGGCAAGACAAGCCGTGGGTGGGGGGAGTCTGGAAGGGAAAAAGAAAGACACGGGGAAATGGGGAAACAGAGAAGAGGGTGGAGTGTCTCAGCAGTCATGACATAACACAGATGGCTTTCTCACTGGGTCCGACATGACGTTAGTCAGTCGAGCAGCCCCCTCACCCTGACGCTGTTGCTCGACTTCTGCCCTGATCACGCGAAAATCATTTAATTTACTCAGAGATGTGCAATGGCAACCACAAAGCAAAACAAAAACAATCACGACTCATCTATTTTCGAAAAATTAGTCTGGCAAAACTGCCTCCACACACTCCAGAACTTAAGATTCACCACCCCGGCCTCTATACTATCTCGACATGGAGAGATACAAGAAACCACGCCAGGGTTTGTTTTTTTTTGTTTGTTTTTTTGGAAGATCGCCTACCTCCAGTAATGCAAGTTTATGTATACCCGGACAACATTGTTAACGTTTAAATGTGCATAAAGGTCAGCCTGGAGAAAGATTAGGTGAACTTTTATCTAATACGTGTAGGAGTGGTAGATGCACTTTATGTCAGGTTGACTCCAGTGAGATTCTGGGAAATCCTTTTAAGCACATGCTCTCAAATGGAAGGATTTTGTAATGAAACACTGTTGGGCTGTTGATACGTGACCTAGACAGAGGAATTAAGGCATAAAGCATGTGTTTTCTATTTCAGCTGTACTTAAAATGTTCTTCACTGAAGTTCCTGAGAAAAAAATCTTATGGTGCATTACTAAAAGTGATGAGATATTACCACGTCATAGAAGTTTTTATTACTGGTGTTACATTTCATTTATACTGTAGCTTCCACTGTATATATACTGCCACTTATCCGTCTAACTATTAATAATGGTGATAAGTAATGTGTCATTTTGCAGGGGTAATGTAGCTGTTCACAGAGCTGGTGACGAAATGTAAGGAGGGATTTTTGAGACAAAGTGGGTGGGGGGTGGGGGTGGGGGGTCTGTTTGACGTTTGTTGGGTGTTGTCTGTGTCGTACGCTACGCCATCTGTCTCCAGAGTCACATCTGGGACTGATTTACAGTGAGCTGGCCCAGAGGTGAACCCACCAAGCTGAGTGAGTGAGAGATAGAGATAGGGGCTGGTGAGGTTGGGTGTTGACCACCGGGACTTGATCAGACCCTCAGGTTGTCCTCAGGTATCCTGTGAAAATAAATATCAATCATGTCCACAACTCTTGGATAGGGTTAAACTTGTATGGCTATTACCATAGATGTGGGTTGCGTACAAATCAGATCACTGTGCTTGTGTTATGCAATAACAGTTTTCTATTCCTCAGAAATCGTGAAGACATGACCCCTTGCTGCGTCTCTGTGTTCCCAAAGAGCCCCCCACAAAAGACAAAACGCAAGTGTCTGAGTAACAAATGCTTTGCAGCTGTGATTTTTGTAAATGTATTCAAAGCTAAATGTGCAAAATTTGTATGGTATCTGATTTTAGTAGCTTTGTCTCTTCTTGATAGGCTTTGATCTTGGATCACTTCCCTCTTAAACTATCAAGATCCAATATTGGTTCCAGCAGAGAGCTGAATTACCTCTGTATTGCCAAAAGACTCTCCGTTTACTGCACTACTTATCTAAGGCAGTATAAAAGATAATGGTGTTGCCTCACATATATATATGGCTTTTTTCTTTCTTTGTGTTCTTTGTGCTTTCACGGAAAACAAATCAAAGAAAGAGGGATCTAAAGTTGCTACCTGTTTCCTATAAGCCAGCTTCCAGCCTCAGGCCCTCATGCTGTTGGTCTCTTCTGTGCAGTTCAATAGTCATTTTCCTGCCATCCCCCACAAAGATTGTTAGGCTCTCCTGTACTGGCCTCCGCGATCTAACTCGAAACAGATGTGAGGGGAGAATCCCCTACAAACTGTGTCTGAAACAGTCAGACTTAGCTGGTCAATACACAAGAACCACATCCGGTTAATGTACTCAGACCTCAAACATTCATTCAGAGCCTGTAAATGCCCGGAGAGTGTGACGATGTCTGGCACACTTTAAGCATTTCCACGAAGCCCCTGCTGTGTGTGTTCGCGTGTCAAAGCAAAACATATAAAAGTAGAGATGAATCATTTATTGGATCTCCTGATATAAATGAAGAATTTAATACCCAAGACATGTATTGTGCAATTGACCAAAGTACATCATATTTTATAATCTCAATCACTCCACCCATGCTTCAGTGTTTCCTTATATAATCTACTCCAAAGCTTGATGCGTCTTCGTTTTCGTTTATCTATGTGAGTTGGCTACTGACCAGGTGTTATCATCACCTTGATATAGGTGTTATCATTACTAATGTTTACACAAACTTCATTAATATTACACTATAAATTACAAGAACTGTTGCCAACATTGCATATCATGCATTTTCTACCAGACAGGTTCAGTTAATAATTTATGATTGTTGTTTTACTATTGTTTTTATATGGTTATAAGGTTATGGTATTTTTTTTATGGCTATTAGGTTTATGTGGGTGTGGCCTAATGAATATTTCTGGCACTTAGAGAGTTAGATGGTATTAATCACCAGTGAAATATCAATAAATCAAAGACTGACTAACTAGACAAATATAAGTTAAAGGGTTATTGGTTCAAACCCTCAATGTGAAAATGAATTAAAGCTTGACTGAAGCTGGGGCCAAACCTCTCTTTGAGCCCATCATTTTACATCGTTGTAGTCATTAAAGAACCTTTGATCTTTGGGGTGAATCTCATTGGATAACCGTGTCAAATCGCACAGA